TTTTGGTTTTGTTGACTGTTTCTTTTGCTGTGCAAAAGCTTTTTATCTTGATGAAGTCCCAATAGTTCATTTTTGCCCTTGCTTCCCTTGCCTTTGGCGTTCTAGGAAGAAGCTGCTGTGGCTGAGGTCGAAGAGGTTGCTGCCTGTGTTCTCCTTTAGGATTTTGATGGACTCCTGTCTCACATTTAGCTCTCGACCATTTGGAGTCTATTTTTGTGTAAGGTCTAGTTAAATGGTCCAGTTTCATTCTTCTGCATGTGGCTGTCCAATTTTCCCAACACCATTTGTTGAAGAGACTGTCTTTTTCCATTGGACATTCTTTCCTGCTTTGTCAAAGATTAGTTGACCATAGAGTTGAGGGTCCATTTCTGGGCTCTCTATTCTGTTCCACTCATCTATGTGTATGTTTTTGTGCCAGTACCATACTGTCTCGATGATGACAGCTTTGTAATAGAGCTTGAAGTCCGGAATTGTGATGCCACCAGCTTTGCTTTTCTTTTTCAACATTCCTCTGGCTATTCGGGGACTTTTCTCGTTCCATACAAATTTTAGGATTATTTGTTCCATTTCTTTGTAAAAGGTTGATGGTACTTTTTTTTTAAAGTTTTATTTAGAATTTTTTAAAAATTATATTATGTTATGTTAGTCACAACACAATACATCGTTAGTTTTTGATATGGTGATCCATGATCCATTGTTTTCGTATAACACCCAGTGCTCCATGCAGTACGTGCCCTCCTTAATACCGATCACAGGGCTAACCAAACCCCCTCCCCCTCTCCTCTAAAACCCTCTTTGTTTCTCAGAGTCCATAGTCTGTCATGGTTCATCTCTCCCTCCAATTCCCCGCCCCCATTTTTCCCTTCCTTCTCCTATGTCCTACATGCTATTCCTTATGTTCCACAAATAAGTGAAACCATATGATAATTGACTTTCTCTGCTTGACTTATTTCACTGAGCATAATCTCCTCCAGTCCCATCCATGTTGATGTAAAAGTTGGGTATTCATCCTTTCTGATGGCTGAGTAATATTCCATTGTATATATGGACCACATCTTCTTTGGATACCAACTCCTCATCTGTAGTGTCATTTGCAAATATCTTCTCCCACTCTGTGGGTTGCCTCTTCGTTTTGTTGACTGTTTCCTTTGCTGTGCAGAAGCTTTTTATCTTGATGAAGTCCCAAAAGTTCATTTTTGCGTTTGTTTCACTAGCTTTTGGAGATATATCTTGAAAGAAGTTGCTGTGGGCAATGTCAAAGAGGTTACTGCCTATGTTCCCCTCTAGGATTTTGATGGATTCCTGGATTCAAAGAACCAACTTCTAGTTTCATTGATCTGATCTACTGTGTTTCTGGTTTCTAATTCATTGATTTCTGCTCTAATTTAAATTATTTCTCTTCTAATGCATGGCTTAGGCATCGTTTGTTGCTTTTTCTCTAGTTCTTTAAGGTGTAGAGTTAGTTGGTGAATTCGGG